CCATCCCTCCTTCCATTATATCCATCCATCCATCCTTCCATTATATCCATCCATCCATCCATCCATTATATCCATCCATCCATCCTTCCATTATATCCATCCATCCATCTTTTCCAGACCATGCACTTCACAAGCTACAGGCGAGGCTGCAGCCATAAGGGGGCAGGCAGGCAATTCTAAACCCCTGCAGCCTGGTTCAAAGAAGAGCAAATGACCAAAACCCATAAAAAGCCTCTGGGTAAAATAAAGCGCAGAAGCCCGGGAGTGCGGGTTGGAGCAGCTGGCTGCTGCGTGGGAGGTCACAGGCGTGTCTCCTAGCTGAGTGCCGGGGGAGAGACAGGGAGGCTGAGGGAGGACGGGGCAACGTATGTGTCTCTCCAGCTATCAGCACAGACCTAGTCAATAACAATAGAGATGTAGCCGTGTTAGTCTGGTGTAGCTGAAACAAAATACAGGACTGTGTAGCACTTTAAAGACTAACAAGATGGTTTATTAGATGATGAGCTTTTGTGGGCCAGACCCACTTCCTCAGATCAAATAGTGGAAGAAAATAGTCACAACCATATATACCAAAGGATACAATTAAAAAAAAATTCATATTTGTTCATCTTTTCATATTTGTTCATTTTTTTAATTGTATCCTTTGGTATATATGGTTGTGACTATTTTCTTCCACTATTTGATCTGAGGAAGTGGGTCTGGCCCACAAAAGCTCATCATCTAATAAACCATCTTGTTAGTCTTTAAAGTGCTACATAGTCCCATAAATTGCAGATGAACAGTTCTTGCTATTATTCAGAGAGTAATTTAAAAACACTTCAGAACAGTAGTTCCCAACCTTTTTTATACTATGTAGCGGGAAACCCATTCACAAACTTTTTGCAGACTGGTAACATTTTATTTGCATATTTAATATGCAAATTCATTTGCATAAAATCATTAAGATCAGAGTTTGCTAATATCTACAAAGCTAAAAAAAATTCTGTTAAAAGAATCCTTTCCTTTCTTCTTTTAAGCCATTAAAACTTATGTAATTTTTTTTTTAAATGTAATCATGCAAATGTTATGAGCTAGGTCTTTTGTTTCAGTATTCAAAAGCGGCCTAAAAGCTTTTAACCCATCTGAAATTTTGGCACCACCGCATACAGCAGTGGTCAGCAACCTTTTCAAACCACAGAGCCAAACTACATCAACATGCAGAACAAGTGGTCAACAAAGAGCCATATAAGAATGCCCATTTTCATGAGTGAAAATATACCCACGTGTCTAGGTTTCTCTCCTGTTTCCAGAATGAAGTAACAGCCAGCTCCCGATCCAGCTATGTTCATACTTATTCATGTTATGCTCAATTAAAGAGCTAAAAATCATTTACTGATAGAACTTAACTCCCCAGGAAATCTCCTTTCCCCTGAGCCATCACACCACTCTTCTGTCATCCCCCTCATCAAACCACACATGGATTCACCTTCCATCCCACCTTTCCCTGTTCCCTCTCCTTCCAGGTATTTGTACGGCTCCAGCACTGTAGTGCTGAGTGCCTGTGGCTCTGAGATCCAATGGCTTCCTAAGGCTACATGGAGGAGTTGAACTCTGATCACCGGATGCCTAGTCCAGTAATTAGGGCACTAGCTGTCACACTGGAGACCCATGGTCAGTTCCCTGCTCTGCCACAGACATGCAACATGACCTTGGGGAAGTCACTTAGTGGCTGCTGTGTGGTGGCTCGTAGGGCCAGGACTGGAGTACACCCTTGCCCCCTGAACTGCTGCACATCAGCCCCAGAGACGCTGTGAACAGCCAGCTTCAACCCCGAGCCGCTACAAACAGCTGACTTCAGCTCCGTCAGCCACTTGCCACTCATCTAGGCTGTACCCCAGCCCTATGGGCGTGGCCTGGCAGTGTGCTATGGCCCAGAACTGGTCCGCAGACCAGCATTTGGGACCACTGCTTTAGAATATTAAAGTGGATAAGCCATGGCAGATTTAATTAATAATATAGAAATCACTTTTTCTGGTACTTTTATAAAGATGAGGCCTGAACTGTGGTGGAAGTTCGTGCGTTATATAGCCGTTGTTGGGGCTCTCTCCTATGGATAGTTGTATTAATTACACTAAACTGTACTTTAACAAATTCTTTTAAATTGAATTCTAGTAAGCAAGTAATAGCATCAGATCTGATGTAAGAGTGATGGATTGTCGCTATTTTAGAGCATTAAGAAATGCCAGTTAAATTGACATTTTAGAGTTCTTAATGTTCTGGGGTTGTAAATGACTTTAGGTCTATCTGTTGGGAATGAACAAACTGCTTTAAATTTAATCAGATGGACTACAGCCCATAGTCTGACACAGAAACTGTCGTAGAAGTATACATATGATCACAGTCCAGGTTGAGATAAATCATTAAATTCTATGTATAACGTTACTTTGCTCTTACAGAGCCCCTTCCACCCGCAAACCCCCACGCACCGCACACTCAGTGCATTTATCCTCTCCACGCCCGTGCCGCAGGGCAGCGCTAGCCCCATGGCGCCCCTGGGAACGGAGGCAGGTTATGTGACTTGCCCTTGTCCACACAGGAAGCCCAGGGCAGAGGCAGGGAGTTCAGCACAGCCCTAGTACTGTGCTGTAACTAACAGGCAGTGCTGCCTCACCATGGCCCTGCACTGAAACAGGCACGAGCCCCGTGCACAGCTGTGGTGCTCCTGGCACGTCCGAGCGCGGGCCTGAAATGGGTTGGGAGGGATTCCCCGCTGACCAGCCAAGTGTGCCCAGCCATGGCTAGCGTCACTGGTGGGGGGGAGGGGCTCTTACTCGTGTGCCTTGGCTGGACACGACTGCAGAAGCGGGGGCATTGCTGGGGCGTGCACGGGACAGGAGTAAGGCCTGGACTTTGCACTGGCCTCTCACCCAGGAGAGGAGGCGGCAGTGCCCACGCCAAGGCTGTTCCACCGACAGAGCCGTGGGCACGTGGGTGCGTGGCCCTGACGCGGCTGAGGCATGTTTGCCCAGGAGCAATCTCGGAGAGACAGATCCTAGGGCTGGGCTGGCCCCTGAGCCGTGCACGCCCCAGCCGGCAGCCACCGGGCCCGGGTGTTCAGGGGTAACGTCCCGTTGCCGTAGATCTCCTCTGGGACACGGAAGGGGGCTGTCAGAGGGAGCTCAGGGCGGGCTCCTTAGCTATCAGGCCTGCGTCACTGCTGCACTAGTCCAGTTTACACTGGTGCGGCTCCCTTGAAATCTACAGACCCCGTTCTGCTGGCCCGGGGCACCCACAGAGCACCTGCCCCAAGAGCCACCCAGAGAAGGGCATATCCACCCCGCAGGCGATTGTGATGCTGGGGGGTGTATCGGAGGGAGCTTTAAGATACCCAGCATGGGCAGATTCAATCTGTCTCGCTCTAATCTACTGTAGCAGTGGAGAGGCAGTGGGCCGGATCGGCAGCCCTGGTACGTACCCCGGGTCCCTGGCAGGCTACTCCACACCACCTACCCCAGCTGGATAAAAGCAGCCCTAGGCATGGCAATCACACCTTCCTTCGCTGTGTAGATGAGCCCTAAACAGACCCGTGCGGGAGGGGAAACAGGCAGAGCGAGACAGGGAGACAGGTTGGCAGCGTGTAGTCAACCTGTGGAACTCCTTGCCAGAGGAGGCTGTGAAGGCCAGGACTATAACAGAGTTTAAAGAGAAGCTAGATAATTTCCTGGAGGTTAGGTCCATAAAAGGCTATTAGCCAGGGGATAAAATGGTGTCCTTGGCCTCTGTTTGTCAGAGGCTGGAGAGGGATGGCAGGAGACAAATTGCTTGATCATTGTCTTCGGTCCACCCTCTCCGGGGCATCTGGTGCTGGCCACGGGCAGACAGGACACTGGGCTAGATGGACCTTTGGTCTGACCCAGTACGGCCGTTCTCATGTTCTTATGCTCAAGGTCGCCCAGCAGGGAACCAGGGACAGAGCTGCCGTCTCCTGGGCTGGTGACCTACCCACTAGACCATACTGCCTCTTGATAGCTGTGCTTCAGCCCTAGACCCTGGGCGGGGTGGCACATGGCTCAGTGCCAGCCCCGAGGGTTTTCTCTCTCAGGCGCTTGGCTGGCAGTTCCTGCTCACAGGCCCAGGGTCTAAGGGGTTGCTGAGGGCAGGGAGGGGAGGCAGGACCTCTCCCCCCAGCTCAGATGGGCAGTGATCTTGGGGCCAGGGGGTTCCTCTGCGCTGCGGGGGAGGGTCGCTTGCCAGGATCATCGGGGTATTTCTCACCTCGTCAGTTCCCTGCCTCAGCCCCGCCTATTTTGTGCCAGACTGGTCCTGAGAGCCTTCACACTGGCCTTTTGGATTAGCCTGTGGGCGCCGGGTGGGGCTAGTGCTGGACCCTTCGTTTTAAAGGACGCGCCGGGGCGTGAACGATGGTCTTTCCCGGGGGACCTGGGAGCAAACGAAGCTTGTTACCTTCGGGGGGGCATTTCCATTTCTCCAGGGCCAGGATGGACTTGGCAGGAACCAGGAAGGCGAGTGCGCTTGCTTGGAACAGGGGAAGTCTGCACGAGCAAGAAGGAAAAGCCTGACTTGCAACTGCCCGCTGCGCCTTCCAAGCCCCCCGACGGGGACCGCCTGCCGAAAGGCAGATGGAGAACCAGGGCCGGGGTGCGACCTACCGGATGCCCAGCGTGGTCTGGATCAGTGTGGTGATCCCGACGCAGGTGAAGATGGTGCCGATGAGCTGGCTGACCGTGTATTGGTCCTTCCCCACGCACAGCGACTCTGCCAGCAGGAAGGGGACGGCGATCGTCCCGCTGAAACAGGTCAGGTAGTGCTGCAGCGGGGAAGGGGAAGGAGTCCTTGGTTAGGGCCATCCGGCGGATCTGAGAACAGGGCAAAGTTCCAGCTCCATTCCCAGGGAGAAGAGAAGAACATCAGAGCAGCCAGACGGGGTCAGACCAAGGCTCCATGGAGCCCTGCGTCCTGACTGCCGGCAGCGGCCAATGCCAGGTGCTCTGGAGGGAACCATCAAGTGTCCCCGCCCCTGTCCCCCTTCCCAGCCTCTGACAAACAGCTGTGGGCCATGCCCTTGTCTCTGAATGCGCCTCCGGCATCCCCATCGTTCAGTGGCCCTGCTGAGCAGGCTTCCTGCTTCTGACGCGATTGTTGCTATTCCTTGGGAGTCTTTCGCTGGCTGAGCTTCCAGCTCCCTTTTGGCTTTACTGAGTCTGTCGTCACGCTTAACTCGACAGCCTCTCGATTTTCCTCACTAGGATTTAGCACCCACTTTTTAATCGGTGCCTTTTTATCTCTCACTGCTTCTTTATTTGGTTGTTCAGCCCGGTGGCACTTGGTTCTCTTGCTGTGGTTTTTCATTTGGGGCATACATTGACGTTGGGCCTCTACTGGGGTGTTTTGAAACGTCTCCATGCAGCTCGCTGGCGTTTCCCTCTTGTCACTGGCCTTTTCATTTCTGGTTAACTAACCTCCTCACTTTGGGGTAGTTCCCCTGTCTGAAGTGAAATGCCAGGGTTGGGCTGCTGAGGTGTCTTCCTACCACAAGGATGTTCCATTTTATTACATTACAGTCACTGTGTCCAAGCGGTCCAGCTGTCACCTCTCGGACCAGATCCTGGGCTCCATGTAGGACTAAACCAGGAATTGCCTCTCCCCTTGTGGGTTCTAGAGCCAGCTGCTCCAAGAAGCAGTCATTTCAGGTAGTGATGCTCAACCTTTTTTAATTCAGGGCTGGGAAAATTTTAGTTGATCAAAAAAAAAAGTGTTGGGAACATTTTGTTGCGGCCCCTTTAATTTAAAGCACAGGTCTGCTCCCCTGCCACTCTCCCCACCCCCGTCGGGCACCGAGACGGGAAAACAAAATGGCGGCTGCCCCAACACTGCAACCCCCCAGGAAGACAGCCGCTACCCGCAAGGGGGTCGCGACCCACGGGTTGCACACCGCTGATTTATGATGTCAAGAAATTTTCTCTCTGCATCCCATCCTGAGGTGACACTTACCCAGTCAGTATGGGGACAATTGAAATCCCCCGCTATTATTGAATGTTTTTATTTTTCTAGCCTCTCTAATCTCCTTTAGTATTTCACAGTCACTATCACCATCCTGATCAGGTGGTCGGTAATATCTCCCTGCTGCTATCATCTTCTTAGTAGAGCGTGGAATTACTATCCAGATTGATTCTAGGAACAGTTTGGTTCATTTAAGATTTTCATTGGATTCTACCCTTTCTTTCCCCCTCCCTCCCCCACCAGGTTACCCTGTTCTGTTCTTCCGATAGATTTTGTACCCTGGTATGACTGTGTCTCCTTAGTTATCCTCATTCCACCAAGTTTCTGTGATGCCTATTAGCTCAATAGCCTCATTCAATACGAGCTAGTTCACTCATCTCATTGTGTAGAATTCTAGTGTGTGTATAGAAGTGCTTTACAAACCAGTCCGTGTGTGTGTGTGTGTGTGATGAGCATCACGGGCCCTGGAAGCCAGCGAGCGGGCCAGGGCCATCTGATCTCTTCTTCCTTACCTGGAAGCCGAGCAGGATGCAGAGGTACCAGGGCGGCACGTCCTCAATCTTGTAGATCATGTCAAATTCCTTCTGCTCCCTCCCTGGGCTGGCAGCTTGGCGCTGGGAATGGAGAAAGGCAGATTTCAGCCCCAGCAGGAGCCGAGCAGAGGCTGGGGGCTGGGCTGAGCAGCTAGACAGAGCTCAGAGGTGCCCGGGTTTCCTTGCCACTCCCCAGGACTCGGTCTCTGAAGCGATCGCCCCAAGGCAGGGAGATCCGAGCGAGGACTGCATTGCCTTGGAGTAACATCCTCTCGCAGGGAGTCCGGAGTCAGCGCCCCGGGGCTGCTGCCAGGCCCACGTGGGACCCAGGCTGGAGGCTGGGCTGAGCAGCTAGACAGAGCTCAGAGGTGCCCGGGTTTCCTTGCCACTCCCCAGGACTCGGTCTCTGAAGCGATCGCCCCAAGGCAGGGAGATCCGAGCGAGGACTGCATTGCCTTGGAGTAACATCCTCTCGCAGGGAGTCCGGAGTCAGCGCCCCGGGGCTGCTGCCAGGCCCACGTGGGACCCAGGCTGGAGCCCACACCGCAGCACACGCCCCACGCCACGGCCACGGCAGGGGCACCTCGGCCGTGCCCGGGCCCACGCCACAGCCGCCGGGCGGGCCAGGGGAGCAGGGTGGCTGGGATCTGCCCCAGCTTGGGATCCGAGCGGGGCACTGAGCCGGGGAAGGTCCCTGGGGCAGAGGGCGAGGGGCAAGTGGGCAGGTGTCGGGTGAGCAGGAGGTAGGCCGGGCTGCTGGGCTGGGGGGCTGCCAGGATACGGGGGGCAGACAGCTGAGCTCTAGTTTCAGGTTCCACGGTGCAAATCTGACTCCGGGCCTGGCTCCGACTCCGTAGAACCCCCCGCCCTGGGGGTTTCTACAGCTCTTGGCCCTTTGCCCCTGGCATGTGAAATTCGGATGCCGAGCGTGCCCTTTGCCCGGGGAACCCCAGAGCTTTCGGAGCCGGCGGGCAAAGGCCTCTCCGGGAGGGTCGGGGCTGGTGTGTCCTCTCCTGAGGAATTTGGCATGAGGATGTGGCACAAACCAGTCTCCTCTCAGCCCGCCGGCGCCTGGGTAAAGGCCTGGCCGAGGCTCGTTCTGGCTCTGGCGCTAGAAGGGAGCGGCTGGCTCGCCCGAAGCCCTGCCACGTTCTCTGTAGCTAGTGGGGTCCCGCGGGGAGCTGCTCTCCACCCACCGCTAGTCAGCACCCTTCTCAGAGGGCTGAAGGACGGGGACAACTGCTGCTGGGGAAATGGCGCGGGGGGCCGAAGGGGGCCGGTCTGGGATTCCCCGAGCCCCAGCCTGGTCCTGGGTCTGCCCCAGGGCAGCACAGCCATAGGTTGCCCCTCGCTCAGGGCTCAGTGGGGCCCCTCTCCTCACAATGGGCCCAGACCTCAGCAGGGGGGCCGCCCGCAGTGCACTGTGCCGTGGTCTCCCCCCCCGGCAGCCCTCGGAGCGGGCGGCGCAGCGCTCCGGTGGGGATAGACAGGGCTGGGTTCCGGGTGCCGATGTCTCCACAGCAGCAACGGCCGAGCCGAGGGCCATTTTGACTCGCTAGGCCCAAGGGCAGTTGCCCTCTGTGCCCCTCCCACCGTCGCCGGGCCAGTACCTCAGCTAACGCGAGCGGCGAGCGGCCGCCTCAGCTGCCCGGCATCCTAGAGCGCTGACCTCACCTTGCCCTTGCTCGCCGGCTCCTTCCCATGCGAATTCTCGGTGAGGATTTCGGGGGCCCCCTCTTGCCGGGCCAACGCTGCGTTTCCATTCTGCGATACCCCAGGGACATGGAAAACAAAGCAGGTCACTGCTGAGAGACCCTGCAGGCGGGCGCACCGTCCCCAGGAACAGAGGAACCCAGCGCAGGATGGAGAGCGCGTCGAAAGGGCCCGCCGTCTCCGCCCACCCTGCGGGTGGTGGTCCTCCGAAAGCAGCTCCTCCGTTTTGGGAACCCCAGAGAGACTCCCCACGCGCAGAGCCGGTCTGTGTTTGCACGCCGGGCTGAATGCCATCGACGGACATTGCAGGGAGCAGCAGCGTGAGCCGGGACAAACGGAGCCGCTCAGTAATAGTGTGGTGTGTGCGTCTCCTCTGCAACACACGGCAGCAGCGCGGCTCACACCCCGGTTGCTGGCCTCGAAGCTGAGCCGCTGTAACTATGGGGGTGTAACACGGTAGTCGAGCGGTGTAGTTAAAGTGGTACAATCGCTCAGTGTGGACGCAGCTAAACCAGTATAAATGTGCTTACACCAGTATAGCAAGCCCTGTACAGGAAGGGGAATGAGTGATACTGGAATGAGGTACCTTTATACTGGTACAATAGCATCTCCTCTCGGGTGTAGCCGTATGGCTGTATCAGTGAAAACTCTCGCTCCCTAACAATAACAGCTATCTATGCCAGTCGGTGTGTACACCAGGCCTTAGAAATGCAGAGGTTCAGTACAGAGAAACCAAATGGCAGGTACACAGCTATATAATATCCCTCCTTAAAATAAATGAATGGAATTAACAACACTGTCACTGTTTATATAGCATATTTAAAGCCCTTTACAGAACACTAATTAACCAGCAGAGCACCCTTAGGAGATAGTAGTGACTTATTACCCCCATTTTACAGATGGGAGATCCAAGGCAGAGAGAATAAGTGACTTGCTCAAGGTTTCCCAGTCCGTTGGTGTCAGCACTGGGATTAGCAGGAGTTCCTGGTGCTCAGCTCACTCTCCCCTCACTAGTAACACTGATGGGGTTTGGCTCATTGCTATGGAATACACTAGTGTTTAACACCCCTCCCCATGCACACACGTGTATACACACACACACACGCGCACACACACACACACACACACACAAGAAGTTGGAGCTTGAAGAACTGCTATGCCACATTGTAAAGCAGTTATACTAAATCTGCCACAATAGGGCCCAATCCTGTAGGGCCCAATCCTGCAAGGGGCTGAGCCTGCTGCAGGGTGTGCGTGTGTGCTCAGTGCACTGCACACCCGGTATCTGCAGTGGCAGCTGTATGTGCTCAGCACCAACCAGCATCAGTCCCTGTATTGCAGCAGCCCTTAAAAATAAAGCCCAGTTCCTTGTACATTTACCTGAGAAAACCCCCCAAGAGCCCTGACTTTCTTGGATCCCCTTTCTCCATCTGTGGCTCTTGTCCCCTGGCGCCTGATCTCCAGTCTTGGCCTGCATCTTAGAACCTTCCGACCTGGAGTCCCACGGCTTTGGCTGAACCCAGAAGCGGGGTGAAGGGGGAGGGGGGGAAGCTGCCAGGGTTCCTGGGGCGCGTCGAAGGGGGCAGCTGCCCAGGGCGAGGCAGGCCCCGACCAGGCAGGGCAAAAGGGGCTCGCTTGAACCTCATCTCCTCTGACTAGTGAGTTGCCGTTTGAGGAGCCAAGTGCTCCATTCTGGGGTGGCGCAGCAGCTTCACCCCTCCCCGTGGGCCGAGTCTCTTCCCCCTCGCTCCTAAACCCGCGGGCATCCCGGGAGGCCTCCTGTTTGCTCAGTCTGTCCAAAGGGACGCGCTTGGTGCCATCTGGCTTCCCAAGCCAGTCAGGGGATAGCAGCCTCTAACTTCCCACGCCCGGCTGAGAAAGATCCTGCGATCGCTGCCCTCTGCCCCCGTCACAACCCACACAGCTGGTTTCTCAGCCGGTTAAACACCGTAAGCAGGGAAATGGATGCATCTGGGGAGTCGGGACGGGAGGGGTGAAATACAGGAACAGCAAACATCACAGTCACCTGGGGCTGAGACAAATCTTCCAAACTGGTCCCCATCACCTGCAGAGCGGCACCGAGCTTTCCCCCGGCCCTTTGGAGAGTGACGCTGTTTTATGGCCGTGGGGAGGACTTTAGTCGGTTCACCCGACATTGTTCCTGGAGTCAATCTGTAACCAGGGCGCTTGGCTGCGGGTTGGGAAAGAAACCAGAGCTGTGTTTTTAAAGATAATCTATTAACTCCATGAATTGTGCTCGGCCTCGCGGGGGGTGAGGGGAGGATGCGCAGCTGTCCGAAGGCTTGTTGGTTTTTCACAGCTCCTTTTGTGAAGACAGGCGAGAGCTGAGTTACAGAATAACTGGCTGGTTCATAAACAGACTGTTCACAACCCCTGCCAGCTTAAGAGGTATCCACCTACAGTCGGCTTCCCCTGAAGCTGTGCAGAGGCAACGCTAAAGACTGCGAGGTTCCCAATGTCCATCCCTTTGGGCTAGGCTTGCCCCGGGGTTTGGCATTATATAGACAGGCCCATCCTGGGCATTTCAGGGCCGCAGACATCACGACTGTTTTACAAACAGATACGCGACTGGCCAGACAACAGCCTCAAACTGTAGACAAGTCAGCTCAGAAGCTACATGCGGATCCCAGTCTTGGCTTGGACTAGGCAGAAATGTCGTAAGACTAACGCCGCCCCCCCCCCCATCACAAGCTTGGCAAACGTTTCTAGTGTGGACCTGGCATATGGCACAGGACACGGCAGCCGCTTCTTCCCGTCCACGTCTCTTCTTGCCATCGCTTTGAAATAACGATCCTGACAAAACTTGTGGATGGGGGAGGGGGGGAAACATTAGCACCAGGTCCCCCACTTCGCTGCCCAGTTGGCACAGCCTATCTCCTAGGGTGCGCCGGCCCCACCCCTCTCCCAGACTGACCCTTAACATGGCCTGATGATGCTGGTTCTAATCTGTTCCTGGCTCTTGGCGACTGCAAGGCAGAGCACCAGTCCCCTGCTCTTTGGTGGCGTTGAGCCTGGTCCCAGTAGCTGACCATCCACCAGCCCTATAGTGGCCAAGGGCTGAACGGGCCACGCAGCCCACGCTCCCCTTTGCCACGAGCGGTCAGGCCGGGAGAGCAGCACGGTGATGGGGAGCACGGGGGGAGCTAGTGCTGCCGGGGGCCATGCTGCGAAGACCCAGGCTCATTGGGGTGCAGGGCAGGAGGCTGAGGGGAAGGTGTGAGCGGCCCAGCGCTTGTGCTGCTGTTGGGAGTCTCTGCTCGCTTGCCTACCCCCGATTCACACGGATCTCGCTGGTAGCCCGTTAGTGACAAAGGTTGTTATGACATTACGTATTAACTGACACATCAGCTCTGAGGAATGTTTGCCGATGAAGGGGGGGGGCGAATGTTCTCCGGGCCCAGGTGAGGACAGGGACCAAGACTATGGGAAAGGACAAAGTGTCCTGGGTCCACTCACCTGGCGGCTCCGGGGACCTGCTCCTTCTGGGTCTAGCACCCACTGGGTCTGCGCCTCACTCACGCTCCCTGTCACCTCTCCCCCCTCCATGTGTCAGGAGGCTCCCTCCTCCTGGCTTGTCCCTCCCCCCCCGGGATAGCAGAGTCCTGTTGAACAGTGGCCTACACCACTTCTAACCCAGCCCACGCCCTCCATTTCCATCCACGGGCCCCATGGGTAGTAATCATGGTCTTTCTCCCAGCCCCTGTTGCTGTTGCCCTGGTCTCCTCCCTACATCTTCTGGCTTCTCCCCGGGGTGACTGCAGACTGCTTTCCCTGCAGCCCCTTTCTGCCGCCAACGTCCTGGCTTTATCACAGGCCACCCGCTCCTTCTCAGCTGGTTCCATCATCAGTCGGCTTCTCAGTCCCATGGGGGTGGGGTGGTGGACAGCTCAAATGGCAGACAGCAGAATTAGTCACCGTTAATCGCCCGCACAAAGAGGACGTCTCTCTATTGGGGCATCCCAAGGGATGGCAAATATGTGGTCCAGGAAAAGGTGGGGTGAGCTGCTCGGCGTGGAATCCCGTCGGGAACGAGAGACTCCCCATGGGAAGCACTGCAGCGCTTGAATGGTTGGGAACCGGCCCGGGCAAAGGCCTTGCAGGGACCCAGGGTGGCTGGGCTGCACCAGCTTTTGTACCGTTGTAACGATAAGCAGCAGGGTAACTGCACCCAGACTGGGAGCTTGGCGTTATAGTGACACAAAGACCATGCGCAGGCCGGGCCCAAAGCACAATCCTGCGTTCACCTGAGACATCTCTAGTTTCTGGTGGCCGCATCCTCTACACGGGGAAAAGTCCAGCTGGGGGCACAGCCCTACCAGAGCTGTTCCAGTCATTCCCGAAGAGCCTGGGAAGAACAGTGCTCCGGCTGGGGGTTGGGCCCTCTCGTCCTGTAAACGTTGCTACGTCTTGCCCAGTTCTATGCCCCCCTCATGGAGGCCCAGCGGGTTTGGGGTGCTGCCCACTCTGCTCCCACTGGCAGTTTTGAACTTGCAAATGAAACCCCAGATTTAAATATCCCGGGCGTCATTTGCATGTTCCTGGGCGGGCGCCATTTTTAAATGCCCGTAGTTTGAACTACCTGCCCGCGGCTACAAGGAGGTTTAACGGTAGTTCGAATTAGGAGCTTTCATTTGAACTGCCTAGTTCGTGCCGCGTGTAGCCGCAGGCAGGGAGTTTAACTAGGGGGAGTTAAAAATGGCGCCTGCCAGGGAACATGCAAATGAAGCCCGGGATATTTAAATCTGGGGTTTAATTTGCAAGTTCAAATGCCTACATTAGTCACCCTAGTTCGAACTAGGCTGGCAGTGTAGACATACCCTAAGGTGCCACAGGACTCCTCCTTATTTAAATACGTGAGAACCAGTGGAAAACCACGGGCCATTGATTTATACTCATATAGCCAGTAAAATGTATTACTCAGAATAAGTACAGACAGGAACCTGAGGAATTCAACAACAAACGTACATGATCCCCACGACTCAGTACGGGAAAGGAAATCAGAGCGACCTCTAAGGAGCTGGGACTTCTAAACCTCAGATGGGGTGTAACTATTTCAATATAGTGAGATTATATTATCTCTAGTGGGCAGCAGGTGGAAACTGTCAGGGTGCCACTGGCTACAGCCCAGCTCCGACTGACGCTGTGGGAGCTGTGGTAATTTACAGCGAGGAAATGCCACCAGGTACTCCTGGCATTGGATTGATATACGGGGTGTAATTATGTATGGGCACTGGTTTATTTTAGGGTTGCCCATAAATAATCCCTGGGCTAAGAATATCATTTTATCCGTATTAAGCTCCGGATGGTACATGTCGTTTTGTTCGGAAAAGGTTGCCTGGGTTTACATTTGTTTGTTGTTATTTGGTTGCCTGACTGTGTATTTTGGTTTGTTACTATGTGGTTGCCCGGATGTACACAGTGGTTTGTTATTACGGGGTTGCCCGGATGTACACGGTGGGTTGTTACTACGGGGTTGCCCGGATGTACACGGTGGGTTGTTACTACGGGGTTGCCCGGATGTACACGGTGGGTTGTTACTACGGGGTTGCCCGGATGTACACGGTGGGTTGTTACTACGGGGTTGCCCGGATGTACACGGTGGGTTGTTACTACGGGGTTGCCCGGATGTACACGGTGGGTTGTTACTACGGGGTTGCCCGGATGTACACGGTGGGTTGTTACTACGGGGTTGCCCGGATGTACACGGTGGGTTGTTACTACGGGGTTGCCCGGATGTACACGGTGGGTTGTTACTACGGGGTTGCCCGGATGTACACGGTGGGTTGTTACTACGGGGTTGCCCGGATGTACACGGTGGGTTGTTACTACGGGGTTGCCCGGATGTACACGGTGGGTTGTTACTACGGGGTTGCCCGGATGTACACGGTGGGTTGTTACTACGGGGTTGCCCGGATGTACACGGTGGGTTGTTACTACGGGGTTGCCCGGATGTACACGGTGGGTTGTTACTACGGGGTTGCCCGGATGTACACGGTGGGTTGTTACTACGGGGTTGCCCGGATGTACACGGTGGTTTGTTATTACGGGGTTGCCCGGATGTACACGGTGGTTTGTTATTACGGGGTTGCCCGGATGTACACGGTGGTTTGTTATTACGGGGTTGCCCGGATGTACACGGTGGTTTGTTATTACGGGGTTGCCCGGATGTACACGGTGGTTTATTACTATGGGGTTGCCCGGATGTACACCCCGTCAGCGTAAACCTACTGTCCAGTCTGGGCTGTGCAGGAGCTGTGCTACAGCTCACTCTGCACAGCCTTCGCTTCATTTAGGCTGCCGCCCTGGGCATCGCTAAGTCTTGCACAGGCTCTCTGCTCTCTGGAGCACAGGAACTCCGCCAAGGCGTCCGGCCTGCGTCGGTACTCCTCGTAAATCTGCTCCTCCCCGAAGTCGCCCAGGTAGCTCTGGCACAGCTTGTAGAGCCTACAAAAACGAGAAACGGAAAGAGGACTCCACGGTATCGTTCCAGCAGGTGCCCCCAGAGGGCGCTGTCCCTCACAGTCCGGCGAGTCGTTTGTCTCACTGTGAGTTGGGCCGTGCTCTGGTCTTGTTTCTTCTCGGGGCTGTTGCAAGCAGCGAGCAAGTTTGCTCTCTGCCGTAATCTCCCGAGCTGGCGCTGGGCACTGGGGCTGAAAGATGCTATTGCCCGAGTGCTGTGTGAGCACCGCAGGGAGGGTCAGCGAACACGAGACACTGCAGCAGTATCCAGGCTCGGGGCTATGGATTTCCCCGCCAACGTGCCTGGCTCCCAACCCTGCTGCTGCTTGGCAGGGCGCTAGCACCGTTCCACCTGGGAAAATGGGCCGCAGGGCCCGACGTGTAAGTGCCATGGGGAGCCAGGCCTGGGAGCACGCTCGGCGGCTGCCCTGTCGCCTTTGCTGCTCAGCAGGGAGT